TTTGGGCAATGTCATATTCCAGAAAGGATGGCGTACCTTTCTTCATGATAATGAAATATTTGAAGGGGACACCCTTATTTTCAGACATATTACTCTTAACCTGTTTAAATTAAAATATTTTAATAAACAGGGGGGCTTAATATACCCTACTCAATTGGGATATCTGTCACCATACGATGGTCAAAACGATTTTATGACATAGATTATGGTTAATTTCTTTTTTTTTTTTTTAAGTATGATGTAATTTAGTTTAAAAATGCCCAATGAATGTAGTGTTTTCTATTTATGTTTAGCTACGATGCTGAATTATATTCTTATTGCTTGCATTTTACATTTAATAACTTACTTGAAAAAAAAATATGATGTACAAATTACAGTTGTATATTATCAAAAAGGTAATGCAAGCAGTTTAAACTTGTTAAGAGCCATGAGTAATTAAACTTGTACAAGATGCACCATATGTGTTTCTACGTTATATGTTTCTTAACATGATGAATATGTTTCATATAAAAATGAACATATCAAATTATAAGATTAAGATGTCATGTTATAAAATGAGTAAGTTTTATTATCAACTGAATATGTTAATTATGAGATGAACGTGTTTCTTAACACGATGTAATGTTCAGATTTTGTACAAGGTGAATATGTTTCTTAACATGATCAAGCTGAGTAATATTTTAATTATTAAGACTTAAAATACTTGAACTTTGTCTTTAAATAATTAATTAAAAAATATCATGATATTTTAAATATTATCACATTACTCGAGTCACTGATTTTCAAGATGGCCGCTAAATAAATAGTCATAATTAAAATTTCAATGTATTAAATATTTTTTTAATTCATTTTTTACCATAAAATAAGCCCATGTATTTCAGGATAGCAAATATTTTCGGATTCCATTTTTATTTTATTTAATTCAATTTTGACACCTATTAAGGTGTGCTAGGCCATAGACGTGTAATAACATGGAGAAGGAGATTTACAAAATTTTGTCTCCAATGGTGAATGTCAATTTTAGTATACTTTGACATGTGTAATATAATAATTGGTTGGGAATGACATATATATTTAATAAATAATAAAAAATTTAATAGAGGATGTCTAAGTAATTCTAGACATAGAAAGACTTCTAGACATTTTGAATGCCACATAAGATTAATAATGCCACATGGCAATAAAAAGGAGCAATCCATGGACCATTGGAGATGCTCTAAGTGGCAATGGAATATACCAATGTCTGTACCATTGTAGATGCTGTTTGTAGTAAAGTAAAGATTGATGTGAAACACACCTGTACAAACATGGATCACTGACATAAATTATGCTGACACTATCCTTAATGTTATCAAAAATATTCAATATATATCAACCAATCATTCTTACACGACATCTATACATATATAAAGAGGAGCAATAAAGCATTAAATTATATTATCATGCATTAAATTTTATTCTCATGCATTAAATTTTATTCTCCCTCCAAAATTTTCAGCATTTAATTTCATTTTTATGTCACAAAATAACTTTCTTGAATGCCATAAATTATGAGCATAAACCAATCGAGAGAGTTACAAAATTGTACTCAAAGTCACACCCACTCATGAATATGGCCGGGTGTATTAGCATAAAGAAAATGGTTGTAACGGCTCTTCCATAGCAATTACTTGATCAAAATCAATTTTGAGAATTATTTTCGTAATTCACATTTTTTTCATAAATTAAATTATGATTTATTTTTGTTTTTTTTATATTGTTATCTTTTTAAAGTATTTTTCTCTGTGCAAATGCACATGTTGATTAGTAGTTAATTTTAAATTCCGAAGAAACAAGGAACCATATTATATTATTCAAATTTAATACTGATTAAGAAAAATAATTATAACATTTTAAGAAATAATCAAATTATTTTTAAATTCGAGCAAACAAATCAACATTGGTTTTAAATAAAATCGAAATAATAATGTTCATAAGTTGACGATTTTTTTTTTAAACGATGACAAGAAATAAATGATTACACCTCAAAACTGACGAAAAATTTTGACAACTAATGTCATGATCCATCAGACATTTTTAAATGCAATAGATTTTCAAAAGATTTTTATACCACTTATTTTTTTTTTTAAAAAAAATCACTTTCTTTACACACAACTAGATTAATATACATTAATACACGGTGCAAAGAAATAATTACGATTTGGAAGTTAAAGAGCCGGTTAACGGTAATTTATTTTTTTCCCATTTTGCAGATGGCGGACAGATCGTTCATCATCCGTGTTGAGTTCGACAAATTCCCGATAACGGTAATTTATTTTTTTCCCATTTCACAGCATGTTAATATATCAAATATTACACCGACATATGTTTACTGCAGATTTTACCCCTTGCCATGGCTGCATACCTTAGGATGGTGGGGGTTGTACAACTTCGACTGCACAATGACAAGGGGAACACTTGGATTGTTGTCGCCGGTCTAAATGACGGAAGCGCCATCTTCCAAGAGGGTTGGGGTAGATTCCTTCTTGGTAATGGAGTAAACGAGGGAGACACCATTTTGTTCGATCATGTAGGTTTGCATATCTTCAATGTTTTTATTTTTGATGACAAAGGAAACATAAAATCCGCTCCTGCTAAAGGTGATCTACCACCTTATGCAGGTAGAAAGGATTTTATGACTTAGTTTATGTTTTTTATTGTTATTTTTATTGTTCTATGTAATGGTTGTGTTTGCAGTTAATTTATTTTATGTTTTCTGAATTTATCAATTTCGAATTTGTGATTCTGTTTGCACGCTCATTACACTTGATAAATTATACGGAAAAATATTTATATAAACAAACACTAATTAGAATAATTAAGAATAAATATGACAATTGTTAATGTTGTATGTACAAACTAATTGCAATATAAATATAATATTATGAAAGGTTGCCTTCACAACTAAAGTTGAAAATTTATATATAATTTTATTTGATCATATTGTTTCGACTGGGATTTTTTTTTTATTTTTTTTTTTAATTTTTCGAAATCTTCTCGCTCTCAATCTCTTCTCGCCTCGCTCTCTGTATAGAATCGGTTCGCGTGTAACATGCTTGTACGTAACATGTTTCTTAACATGATGAATATGTTTATTTGTAAAATGAACATGTCAACTTATAAGATGCACATGTTATGTTATAAGATGAATATGTTGCTAAATATGTTAAATTATAAGATGAACGTGTTTCTTTCTCATATGAACATGTTTAGTAACACGATGAATATGTTGAGTTTGTACCAGATGAATATGTTTAGTAGATTTTGTACGTAATATCTTTCTTAACACGGTGAATATGTTTCTTTGTAAAATGAACATGTAAAATTAAATAATATAGATGTTCTTTTATAAGATGAGTATGTTTTGATATCGATTAGGCATCAAAAATCAATCTATATATTTATATATATCTGTATATATGTAATTAGATTCACTCAGACCAAAAAATTTAATTAACAAAAAGTTGTGAAATTACACACTTTTTATCACGTATGTCCTTTGCGAAAAAAAAAAAAATCACGTCTGTCATTTTGTATCACAGCTGTCCAAATTTAATTATTATCAGGATGGTGGTTGCGTGTTCAACTCGGTTTTATTAAAGGGACCTTTTTTTTTTTAATTTCTTTTGACACAAGCATTTAAAAGGGACTAAATCTGAAATCGATTTTTGAAGTTGGGCAACCCTATCTGTATAGAATTTCGGTTCGCGTGTAACATGCTTGTACGTAACATGTTTCTTAACATGATAAATATGTTTCTTCGTAAAATGAACATGTCAACTTATAAGATGCACATGTTATGTTATAAGATGAATATGTTGTATTATAAGCTAAATATGTTAAATTATAAGATGAACATGTTTCTTTCTCAAATGAACATGTTTATTTACACGATGAATATGTTGAGTTTGTACCAGGTGAATAAGTAGATTTTGTACGTAATATGTTTCTTAACACGGTGAATATGTTTCTTTGTAAAATGAACATGTAAAATTAAATAATATAGATGTTCTTTTATAAGATGAGTATGTTTTGATATCGATTAGGCATAAAAAATCAATCTATATATTTATATGTATCTGTATATATGTAATTACATTCACTCAGACCAAAAAATTTAACTAACAAAAAGTTGTGAAATTACACACTTTATCACGTCTGTCCTTTGGGAAAAAAAAATCAAGTCTGTCATTTTGAATCACAGCTGTCCAAATTTAATTATTATCACGATGGTGGTTGCGTGTTCAACTCGGTTTTATTAAAGGGACCTCTTCTTTTTTTTTTTTTTTTTTAATTAATTTCTTTTGACACAAGCATTTAAAAGGGACTAAATCTGAAATCGATTTTGAAGTTGGGAAACCCTATTTGAAAAGAGGTACTGCACAGCCGTTTACTTTTTTATCTTCTCATTTTTTTTAAAATTGTCAAATAATTTTGATTCAATTATTTTGTAGCTTTAATACAACCATGACGAACAACGACGATGTAAAACAAATGGTGGCAGTATTTCGCGTACCAGGATGGAGCGAGCAGGACGTGTTGGTGTGTTACAAACTCTTCTTTGAAAAGGCTCTCGCATTGAACGAAATTCACAGGCCCTCAGTGTTCAACTCAATATGGACTCCACTGGCACGAGATCTGTCACAATTATTGGGTAGATCTGTTGAAAACCGGGCTGTTAGAGAACAAATACAACGGCTAAGGAACCACTACAACCTTTTCAAGAAGTTTCTGCAGAGAACGCGCTCAAAAGTCCATTCGGAAAGTGGCGAGGTTAGGGTGAACAAATTCTATTGGTTATACGTGTGGCCCGAGGTGAATTATTCATATATTTTACATTACCTATTTATGAACAGTTAATCTAATCATTCAAATATATTGATTATATGAATCTCTGTTTTAATGTTTGCTAACATAAATAAAGGAAAATCCTATCGAACGATTTCTCCGAACAATTGGCTTCAAGTGGCACGACGAATGCATGGTGGTATTTGAAATGAGAGAAGCGGCTAATATTTGTTTCAACAATGCTATTCAGGCAACTTTTGATGTTCCGAGTGATGCTGAATCTTCATCTGGTGTTTGAAATGACTTGGTAGGAGGTGGGATCATGTTGCGGGGTTCTTCTGGTTATGTAGTCTGTGTTTTTTTTTCTCATCGAACTGTGCGTTGTTCATTTTGGCAGACGGTTATTATCAATTTCATGTTAGGGCTTACGTTAATTAATTATGGCTTTTTTTGAGATGATTTGTGTTGCTGTCTTGAATTAGCAACTTAAAATTAAACACAGTTGATGTTCAGAAAATGAAGATAAAAGTTTAATTGGATTTTATTGATTATGTTCACAAGAGTACAGAAGTCGGTTTTAAGCTGAAAACCGAGACAGTCTTTTGTTCATGTACCATGTGATCGAAAAAGAAGATCCTCGTACTATCATAAATTCTGCTATTTATAGTACGGTGGCTTTTGTCTTCTTCCTTGAAATGGATAGAGATGCATTTAATATTGAGCTGCTTTGTTTTGAGGCGGCGGGAAACATCAATGATTGCCTTTTTGTTTCGTTGGTCCAATCAGATGCTTCTAATGATTACTTTCTGTTGGAATGCTCAAACTTTATGGTAGTCGGTTGATTTGGAGTCGGTTTACTTACGTCGGTTTCGGATGTCGGTTTCGATCCTTTTTTGAAAGTCTGTCGCAAGTTGGATCTTTCGGAAATCGGCAATTCTTAAGAAGTCGGTAATTTGCTATAATATATTCTGACTTTTAGTACCTTAATTCTGATTACTGGATTTGATATCAACAGTGAGGCCCCCGACATCAGTAAGTATTTGAAGCTTTTTAAATGATTGCTGATGTCGTTTGTTGTTTCACGTTATTCCGACCCGCTTTGCGTTGTTACCGACATGAGAACACTTGATTCATTCGACACTTTACGGTATTTGGTCTGACATGGCGGCCCTTAAAAGACGTGTCCGCATTAAATGGGCCCAACGAATACAATTTTGTAACGACATGGCGTTTCAGGGTATGGCCACGTAGAATAATAATTACTGTAACGTTATGTCCCTTAAAGATGCGTCCGTTACACGCGCCGTTTCCGGATACTTCTAACGGTCATAAATCAAAACCTATAAATTGGAGTCGGTTTTGGGGCGCAAAAAATTTCTGTACCTTTAACCTCTTCGATTTTTCTTGCGTTCTTTCAGCAACCTTTTCTTTACGTACTTTTCTTGCGCACTCGCCTTTTTCCTGTGATCTTTTCGTCAGTCCAGAGTTCTTCAAAAGTCTTGGTAAGAGTTTGCCCTAATCTTTCTTGTTTTCGTATTTTGTTTCGAATTTTTGTTTTCATCGATTTCAAGATGTCTGCGCAAACCGAAAATAGCAGTAGCCGAACGATTTCGGACATTCCGATCCTTACCGATGAGGATATGGAATTGCCTCTGGAGTATTATCGGTGGGATCCTCTTTTGGTAAAGAGTCTTAATCTCAATAGGGATATCATCGATGAGGACAAGCGAGTCGAAGAGGACGCTATGTCTCTTCCGGATTATTGGAGGCGCCCTGCCCGCCGGTGGCCAGAGCCGATTGACGAGTATAGAGGAGAGCCGAGTATTCTTACTGATGCCGACATTGTCATGCTTCGTGGGGAAGTTTATATTCCGTCTTCGGTAAAACTGTTTGCCCCTTATCCAGGTGAAAGAATAACTTGTCCTCCTCCGGGTTGTGTTGGCGTTTTTGCCGACTCATTGAGGTCTGGCTTGAGATTTCCGCTTCCTGCTCTGATCACGGATTATCTGAGGAACTGGGGGATTAGTTTGTGTCAAGTAGCTCCGAATTCGTGGAAGAGAATCATTGGTCTTCTAGTTCTGTTAAAGGAAAAGGGTTGGGACATGCCAACCGTTGAAGAACTAAGGAGCCTTTTCTCGTTTAGGAGATGCACTGATAGGCAAGTAGCAGATCCCCTGATTTGCTATGCTTGCGCAGGAAGGCCCCAGAGTGGTTTTAAGATTGGTGATTTGATCACAGAAATCCCGGATTCACTGCATGGGTTCCAAGAAGAATGGCTGTGGGTCGGTGGGGAGTGGCAGACTCCAAATTTTAATAAGCCTTTGATTGATGGAATGTCAATTCCGATTAACATTAATTCTGCAGTTTGTAAGTATTGTTTTTCCTTCCAATAGACCGAGTTTGTTCTGACTTTGCTTTTTATTTGTGTACTAACAGGGCATCAACTTTACTGTTTGCAGCCAAAAGCAAAGGAGTTGAACTCAGCTCGACTTTGAAAGAAAGAATTTCTGAATTGTTCAAGCTCAAGAAGACACAACGCGGTTTCAAGTTGATTTTAAAGGACTCGAGGTTGAAGGCTGCCGGGTTGTGTCCAGAAATTCTAGACGGTTCTTTTCAGCCAGGTAGATCCGAATCGAATTTTTTAAACTTATTCAAAGTCGGTAAATTTTGGATATTATGATAACTCGGTTTCATAATTGCAGTATATTATCCGCTTCTCGGAGTGCTCGGTTTCAAGACTGTTCGTGACGCTAGAGCCTTCCGACAAAGGAGTCCGAATTTGGAACTGCGAACTAAAGTCGGGAAGAGCAAAGAGCTGCGTCTTACAGGAATGGGTCGTAAGAAATTAGTGAAGGC